GAGCTGGTGTTTTTATTTGATGCAATACTCACCGACCACTGGTTTCAAGTGTGCAAGCGAAATACACCTACGATCCCGTACACATCATGGTACGTAGAATTAATGTGGTTAGCGTGAATGAACAAAAAGGCAGTGGCGACCCGGTGATGACATCACCAGATTATCACCACAGCGGTCGTGTGCTCGAATCCCATAAACACCGGTGGACTTTTTCTCATTTATTTGTTATATGTCAGCTTTTTAATTGGCCGCCTCTCCCACCCTGAAAATTGCATCATTGGGTATTCGATAAGGGGAAGTAACAATGAAAAAAGAAAGGAAAGGACGAAAAATAGTTTCAGTCGATCATCATCCGCAACATACAGTGAGATACAGTGAAGTGAACTTCACTGATTACTGCCCAGCTCACACTGCACAAATCAAATGATAAAGCCCATGGCGGAGCGGGATTGGGCCTAGTTAGAGGGGGCAACGAGTACACAATCTAAGTTTGCATATAAATCTTTTCAAGCATTCTGACTTGATGAGAAATGACAAAAAGCACAAAGCCACTGCTGTCGGTTCGCTGCCACATCCGTCAGTGTCTCTAACCAACCAGTTGCAGAGTCTTTTGGACCCCAACCTGGAAGACGGGAGATACCAATTCTACCGAATCATCCTCAATCGGTGTGGGGAGAGGGAGAAGTCAGTGGAACTGTGGAACCGGTGAGATTTTCGCCCTAGACATCCGGAGTTATCAATGAAAGTAAATGTGTGTGTGTAAGTAAAGCCAAAAGGTGTGACTGGAGTGGAACTATTCACATCAATGACTTCAGATGCAGTCGTTGGTGAAAGAAAGTTTATGTTTGTCGGTGAAAGCTCAAGGCATTGCGACAGAAAAGGAAATTGTGGCCACGGTGACTGCTAGATTTCAATACATGATTGAAATACGCTTGTTTTGGGCATAGCATATTAGACGTTTATATGATCTAACAACAAGGTTAATAAGGAAATTCTAATCAACTTGCGTTAGACACGTGTTTATGACACTTCTGAATGTGAAAATTTAAAGTCAGGTTAAATCAATGGCAGTAATCGAAAATTTCCTCCTTCATCGCCCTCACGGGAGTCAGTATTGCCTTCACGCTTACCGATCTGTGAGCCACATAGACAATGTCTGTTACACGGAGACATTTCACCCGGATTGGTCGGTGTTTCCGGACGAGACGGACGTGATTCGCCCACTCCTTCTTTAACTTCTTCCGCCGCCGCTGCTGCGGTGTCCCGGTGCCCGGCGGTTGCCTCATGCTGCACTAGCATGTGCAACCGTTCATTGTCCGAGCGCAAGTGTTGCAATTCCGAATAGAGTCGGGAGATTTGATCGCGCAACTGGTTGACTTGATGTGTGCTGGCCAGCGCCTCCAACTGGACGTCGGTCAATTTCAGTTCGCGTTCGTTCAGCTGACTGCGAAGTCGAGCCAGTTCGGCTTGAAGTTGTGCTGTGTCCCAAGTCGATCGGCCGCTTGTGTCTAGCTGTCCGGTCGGTTCACTGGAGTGAACGGAACTGTGCCGGGAGATAGGGACAATTGGAAAACAACAGAATGCGCGAAAGAAAGAAAGAATTCCTGAGTTTGCAGGGGGGAACAAAAACGCTCCCATATGAATAATTAAATTAAGCAATTAGAATTGAAAAATTTGTTCGACTGTCGACATTGTCCAAAAGTTCAGAAGCTCATGAGACCGTCATATCATCCAAAGGGGGGGGGCAGAGGAGAAAGGTATGGAAAAAATGTGTTTTGTTTTTAAATAGCAGAAGTGATGATAAAAAGTGTTCATTTTAAATCAAATGTGAGGGAAACCGCACACAAGTACCGTGCGAATAGCTTTCCGATATATATATATATATATATGTGTATATCAACAAATCAGCGTTCAGTATAATGTGACTACGTAAATGGATTTTTTGTTCGTTTTAGAACGAGAGCACCGCAAAGTTCACATGTATTGACATTTTATTTTGGGGATGACCGGGTCAAGTGAACACGGGACGGGGGATGACAACTGTATTTGGTCACAAACTTTGTTATGTACTTCTAATCACATCCCTGTTGAGATGGACGCTCAGTTTGGTTCGGATTCGATCGGAATGACATGCTGACTGTGACTGACGTGCAAAAACGAATCCACGAATGATTTGTAGTAGTAGTAGTAGTTGTTGTTGTTGTTGTTGTTGTTTCCTTTCAGCGAGGCAAGATAAACTGGAATCAACTTAGACCGAGGTAATATGCCTCTGAGTTCGGCAACAAGTAACACGGATCATCTTTCATATCGTCTCACTGGAGGCGTTTCTTTCTCGTCACAGTCACCACTCCAGTTTCTCATTTTTTTTCAATTTCAAACCGCTCATTCGGTCAACCGATCACCGCGTGTTGATAATCAATTGGACTAAAATCTCTTCAATGTGATTGAAGAAAAAAGTATCGGTATTATTATTATTATTATTTCAATTACACAGAATTATATACTTTAGTGGGATAAACAGCAGACGGGGTGGAACTGCATGGTCACGAAGATCTTTTGTTCAGTCGTGCAACCCGGCAAATTAAGCTCCAGGGACTTGGAGTGGTGAACCACATAAGGCCCCGCGTGGTGGATCAAGCATCGTATTGAACTGGACGATAGCAAAGTTGCTGACCACCAAAGTTGGGTGGTGGTGGTGGTAGCGGGACTCGAACCTCGAACCGCAGTGTTCAAAGCACGCTGGTGACAGCCACTAAAGCACTGCAACATTACCACCCAAATGGAGCCCTAACATCTGTTATATCAATATTGTCCAGCAACATGACTTTCCTTAAGCGTCATGTACAAAAAGCGATATGTTTATTTATTATACAATATACTAGTTTGAACATCCTGGAATGAGGTACTTTCTTGAAAAGTTTGGCCCTTTAGAACTTGATGCAATCGTTGGTTAATCGTTCCAAACATTTTAAAGTCCCGTTTGCGGAAACACACGGATTAGTTAAGCGGAACAGGGTTTTTAGTAGGACTGCTGGTCTCCTTGGGGAGCGATATAAGTGGAGGTCATAAATCTTATTATATATATATATATTGTTTTCCAGACCCGAAAGAGCGTCAAATGTTTCTCATCGCTGACGAGCTGTTACACCCAAAACAAAACTGCCATATGTTCCTCCTCCGACTTATATGCTCCTGCAGATTGTGACTGAAGCTTCTGTACAAAAAATTAATTCCATAAAATGTATTCACGCTATCCGAAACATTCGTAAATATTGCGACGGAAGTCATCTGGCAATTGCACTCCAAATAGGACCGTTGAGAACATATATTTATACAAGTTTTTGCAAAAATTTCACACATTTGCAATCCAAAACGGTGTGATCACGACTGAATAAGAATGCATCATAACTGAACCTCTTGGGATCTATCCATAAGGAAGAGGCTTCGTTTGACCTGTCGGACATGCGACGGATGACTTTTGAGGGCAGTTAGATAGAACACGGATAGATGTACAGTCAATCATGTGAGGAATGTTTTCCCGGTTTCCGATTGCGTACGATCCCATCCCAGCACAGCACTGATCCAATAGAATCCACATACGGATTGCTACCCGTGGCCATTGTTCATGTCAGGAATCGATTTCCACATCCAGTGGCCACGTCGAATAGCAAGCATATCCCCACCCCTCGAACTACCACTCATCCCATCCCAGTCATCCGCATTTGGGTATCGGAACACTATCCGGAAACACGCTGCGCGAATGACGGTGCATCAAGACCGCGTGATTCATAGATCTCTGGAGGCAACACTCGCGTGCTTACACACATCGAAAAACGCAACCCACAGCATCTGTGCGTACACGTGAATTTGGGGGAATAACTTTGTACGAAGAAATCCGTGGAACGGCTGCACATCGAACTTCATGCGCGCTGTTTGATCATATCAGTCAACAAACACATGGACGCACACACGAAAACCGACCAAGTAACACACACAGAAGCCTGCGTGCGTATGTGTGCGTGTGCGCCTTAACAGACTTTCATCGAGGGTTCGATTGATAAGTTACTACTGTGTGTGTGTAAACAAACGCGATGGATTTGCACGTGTGTGTGTGTGTGTGTGGAGGGTGGGGGAGGGGCGGGGCGGAACTTTTTTGAACTTCATCAACCGGTTGAAGCGTCACCGCAAACCCGGACTCGAATCGACTCTACTCGATCGTCAAAGAATTAGACGCGTAGGCAAAGGAACTATTAATTGCCCACCCTCATTTCCTGGTGGAAATCGATAGGCAACACACACACACGCGCACACGCAAACGCGCTCGGAGAGGGTGGAAACGGCTCTCCGGAAACGGACTAGAGCACAGATATTGTGATACAGCCCACCTGCCCGCGGGGTAAAAACGCCCTCATCAGTGCCCCGGGATGAATTTGTCTCGCATTCCATTGTGAATCATGGGTGTCCGCGTCGTCATCGTAAGTTTCTCATTCACTTAGATCACTTCACAAGTCACATGCTGCGTACGTAGGGATTTATGGGCATCAGCCATTGCGCATCGGTTCATGCCTCGGCCCCAAACACCTTAGGTATGCCTGTGATCTGGTGCCCTGTCAGACAACCTCCGAAAAACCGGACTTCAGTTCGTTTTCGCAAAACGTTTGTGACATTCATAATTAGTCAGTTCACTTTGGCTCCCTCACATCTTCACACAGTTGTCTGTTTAGAAATCCCCAAAACCCTGAGGATTAACTGTACCGTATCTCACAAGTTTCCGGCATACCGAGCCTGATTCTCATAAAAAGTATAGATTTTTCACGTTCTGGATTGTGCTAAAAGGGTTCAGTGGCTACCTTTGCCGAGTCGCAGACAAAAAACAGTTCGAAGAAAAAGACCGTGATTCTTGCCTTTACACACTAGCGTGATTTACCCATTTTACTTAACTTCTCCCGTTATCCTCCCTGGTTTAATCGGAAAAGATTTCGCGAAATTGATTCGAGGTTAAGCTGTCAAAAGTTATGACTACACCCTTCACCCCGTGAACACCGTCGTCGAACTACTCTAGGATCGTCACATCGTAATCAGTGACGCCGTACATCCACATTGTAGCACGATTTGTGGATCGGTCGCCCACATTTGTGAGGTTGATCCCAATAAAGTTTTTTTTCTCGTTCCTGCTCGACTTTTAATGCGAGTCACGTCAGTGAAAGCAATGCAGCAAGAATCTCGATGACGGAAAAGACTATTCGTTTTTTGTCCTGTTATTTTTCCGCAAGTTGCGATGGATGGATGGATTTCGTACGAATCACATTGTTTGACTGGAACGTTAGTTTGTTTCGTTTGCGTAAACGTTTAAATACAAATACACATGACATACATATATGAATGGATTTGTTTATACCAATTTCTTCATTTCACCCGTTTGATGGATAACGCTGTGATCAGGGAGATTCCCGTTATTTTTTTTTCTGAAATTTCCAACTCACTATCATCTACCTACAAATTATAGATCTACCGTTAGTTTTTCTGCAATATGTAGAGCAACGAAATGGGACAGGAGGAGCGGAGGCTTGCGGATGATGTTGGTGATTATTGCGATCTATGTGAACACATTTCGGTCCCCCCCCGGGCAGATAACCGTGCAGATACACACACACACACACAACATCTGGCAGTCTATTGTTAGGCTGTTGATTTCCGTCGACCAAGTAGAAATAACCAGATGAACCGGTTGTAACGCGCCGAATTCCAGTCCAAGGTGGAATGTGTAAACCTGGGGAGATTGGTGCAACAACACATTGCATAGGATATGGCCTGATTTGTGAGATCCGGAGAGCGTGGATCCACATTCTGGAGAGTTGGTTATAGAAAGGTTTCGAAATGTAGTGTACTATACACAAGTGACCACATATATGTCCCCGGTTCCGTGTGTGTGTGTGTGTGTGTGTGTGTGTGTGTGCGTGCGTGCGTGCGAAAGACTTCCGTAGAATGGAGGCTTTCGACAGCTCGGGGGTGTACAACACTGGGTTAAGCTCCCATGTATTGGACGGTGTCTTGATGGAGATTATTTTTTATCACACCGAATTGAGACGAATGGGCTCCACCGTTTAGGAAACGGTCGTGTATGGCTAACAGTCATCAAGTGCACCAATCCTTAGTTGCCGCATTTTAGTGAATGCTTTGATCTCGATTCAGAGTGCCGATAGACATGGTCACATGAGAACAGGTATAATGAGCAAGTCGAACGACACAAACCGAGGAAGAGAGTACACATCTCCTTCGCCTACCGAGCTGGTATCAAAAGACTCTGTAATTGGTTGACTCGATACACCGAAGGACAG